ATGGTCGTCAGCCAGAGTGACAGCTCAAGATGCGAGCTACGAAATGGAGATGTCAGAATCTAGGTGAGGGGAGTGTTATAACAGACTACAGAAAATATGTCACCGAAATTCGAAGGTGCATTGAAATAGTGAAAAGTGCTTTGCAAAAGCTAAGCAAAGTATTAAGAAACAGGAAAATCACGTTAGAAAAAAGACTGTTGAACTGCTATGTAAATGAAATAACTTTCAACGGCAATGAATGTTGGACAATTTTTCACAGATGAAGAGACTTGAGACAAGAGAGATATGGTTCTACAGAAGGATGCTGAGAATACGGAATACGACGAGTAAGTTTTAAGGAAATGGGAACGAAAAGAACACTAGTACTTAAAAGAGACAGGTTAAATTTCTAGTACACATAAGAAAGAATGGTGACTTAGAGAATTTGACACTCACAAGACATACTGAATCTAAGACGGCTAGAGAGAAACATCGAGTAATCTATCTAAAGAATTTGTGTATGCGTATGTTAGAATAGGAACTGGAATGGACAGTAAGGGACAAACATTGCTAAGACCTACATAGGATAGGAACTTGTGGAGAGCTATGATTGCCAACGTACAGTTTTACTTATATGGGTAATGCCTCCAAAGCGAAACTGGTGTCCTTTAATCCTCACAGAACTATTTTTGCTCTTCATATGGCTGATGCTAACCTCCAGAAGAACAATTCATTACGCCTTCTTGGCATATGTTTTCTACTGACATGAAGTGGAACGATTATTGAATCAATTGCTACCTCTGCTGTTGGTTCACTGCGTCGTCTCATATAATTTTCCCCGTCAGAATCCATCTTGTACATTTACTCGAGATTCTCAACAAAACCCAAAAGAAGAGGCTGTAATGTCATCGGTGCTGATCTGGCATCTCAACTTTAGTCACTTTCCTACCGACGTCACGTGGCTTCCCTCTAAATCTTTTCTAGAAATATTTTCATAGTAACTGTTTTCTCTTCGTTGGTACCACAACCGTATGAAGCCTGGTTACTAGATTTCATAGTTTTACTGTTGAAATAGCTAGATGTAACCATATCTTCTGTTCTAATACGTAGTTTTTTCCTCGCTTGTGTAAATTTCTTCCGGTTTCTCTGCCACCTACAATCTTAAAAAATTTAAATGCAACATCAATCGCAATCTTCTGTCTTCCTGTATCTTGTTCTTTCATTGTCCTTATTAAATTATTCTTATGTTCATTCACTCCCAGTAACTCCTTACGTTTCAGTCGCATTATCGCTTTGCTTGGAGTGAAACCAATTATATATATATATATATATATATATATATATATATACACTTTAGAATAACGAAATGGAAACAAATTATTTGGAAAAAAGATTTTCTGTTTAGGGAATGCAAAACCAATAAAGATTGATGCCATTTATCAACAGTTACTTGGTAGCTTATATGTTACGAGAATAATAAAAAAAGCGAGCTTAGTTTGCCTTCCTACATCATCAGTTCTCTGACCGAGTGCGGTCATAGGGTTGCTGCGAAGTTGAGCTCCTAACCAGTTCTCTTCACATGTCTTGTTGTGTGCCAATACCTACGTTAAAAGTCGAAGAGGTATTCTTTCCTGCGATGCATGTGTTGGGATGGTACACCTAACGACGCCTATTTCATTCCAGGTTAAACTGCAGTCGATCTCTACCCATTTCGCTTTGGTGACTTTTCTATCGGGTGGGAGGGGGTGATCTCCACCGTGAACTTTTTATTACTTTAAAATTAAAAATTTAAATTGTGTGACGCCTTTGATATTACGGGTTAAAAAGACAAAATTTTTTTTTTGTTTCTTAAAAGAATCGCTATCAACATTTTCTTCCTTTTGTACATTCCAGGCACAGAAGAAGCAACGCCAAATTGTATTGCCAGCGAAGTGAAAGATTTGAAAGAAGGAAATTCACAGTATCAACTAGAGTACAATTTCTGGCATAATTTACGACAGTCAGTCATCGGTACTGGTGTTAATACCGGTTTGAGCAAAGCAGAACTTACTCAACAACTTCGACGCATGCGCAACTGGTCTTTGTTTGGAATTTTAACTATTAATGGATTGTGGCTTGTAGTTTTGTCAGTATTCTATATGGGGATCTCATCATCTCTATCAAAACTTAATATTTATGGTGTCATCAGTGGCGCCCTCTATGGCTTTACTTTAGTTATTCAGATGCTGGGGTTAACAGCTTGTCGGTTAGATCATTTAATCAGATACGTGGGAAATGTATTTGGTCAACGACAGCCATTTTGGATTAACTGTAAAGAATAAATTCCAAGTGTAGACAAATTAACAAAATGATGTATTTATTGTTTTCATTAAACAGAGCAGTTCATAGCAATTCAAGAGAATTTAAAAAAAAAAAAAATTAATTTCTGAAAGAGGCTAATGTTATAACAGCCACTTTCTTTTCAATACAGTTTACTAAATCAATAACCACCATTAAAGTTTTCGTTCCTCAAATGACTTGGCATGCAATGATTTTGCTTTGTCTTTCTTTGGAAAATAATTTAGGATCACTACACAAAAGTATTTTTCTAGGACCGAAAATCTAAAAATTCAATGATTTATAAGAAATTCTTTTCGTCAGAGTATCTTTAAAACCATATACTTTCAGATTTAGAAGATCATGGCCCTTTCTCCAAGTTCATTTTCTTTATTATCTGTGAATTGCCATGGGCTCTTTGGAAAGACAAGTCGGGGATTTGCCCGTTGACTTATTCCATTTTTTGAATGCATTATTTTCCTATATTCGATGCCATTCAAAGCTAGAGAGACTGGTTTACCCTGCCATTTAACCCAACTGTAATGAGAAAAGAAACAGTTTGCAAGTGACCACTTTTCAAAATAAAACTCAGTTATCAGTTCATTCATGTAGATTTTACAAATACACAAAATGCTAGCATATACAACATGAGAGAAAGTTATTTTATAAAATTGTAAACATATATTGAATGTTTCATTAGCTGAATAGGTGTGAAAAAATTGTTTCATTCCTTAGTTGTGAATTTTTCCATGGGTAATTTCCCTATCTTAATTGAAGTTCTGAAAAACAAACAAAACATGAAACTTTTGACATGTTATGACGTTTTTATTTACATGGGGGGGGGAGTTTCTGGACACGTTGTATATATGATTGATAATTAAGATAATTTAGAAAAAAGGTTGTAGTGTCGCCGTTTTCTGGTTCATAGAGAAAATAAATGTATTCAACTATACCAAATATTGGCATTTGCAGTTATCGCCCCCCCCAAAAAAACCCCAAAATACAACAACATACTAGTAGAAATTGTATACATCAAATTGAGACAAGAATCTAAAGGAACTCCAAAGGCAATTCCCCAGACTATGTCAATTTAGGGGACAGAAAATGGAACAAAATAATGAGCAACGTGGTCAGATTTGTTTATAGGCTTGTTGTGTGTAGGAGACATGTAGATCCCTATTGGGGAACCATCTGCCTTTTCTATAAATACTTTCATTTCCTCTCTGGTTGCTAGATTTTATGAATTTAAGCGCAGTACTAGTTTGGCCACAAGGTCTCGCACTTCTAGCTTGTGGAACTCTCTTCCAGATTCTTGGCCAACTTTGACCTTCAAAAGTTTAAATGCATTATCAATAATTATCTGTATCAGTTCTTGTTCTCTCTCTCTCTCTCTCTCTCTCTCAATAGTGTTTTCCTCATGTTCTCTAACACTCAGTAACCCATTGCCTCTTAGTAGCGTCTATTGCTGGATTCATTTCCTACTGTTTATCAGGTTATTTATAGCCAGAAAAGATTTTCTTTTTCGATTTGAAGAATTTTTTTTTTTTTTTATATGAAAGTAAATATAACGAACCCAACGAAAATTAAAACTTGCCTTTCGTAATAACGATTCCGGGTCATTATCCGTTGCACATCAAAGCATTCGATATTCCTAAGCGGTCATCCATCTCTGATACTGACCAAGCGCGACTTCAGCGATCTTAGGAACCGATGTTTCAATGTGATATGGCCATAAACCTTCTCTTAGTGACTTTATTGTCTTACTTGGGAAGTGTGTGTGTGGAGGGGGGCGCCTAAAAATGTATTTTGCTTGAGAACAGTTTTCTATTTTCCGTAGAGTTTCTTTATCCTTTTACCGATTTGGCAAGAATTTCAGTAGAATATTTCAATTGCTGTTATTTCTGTTTTTGAACAGTGGTGGCAAGCCTTAAAATATCATTCACATTTTTCTGTTTCGATATTTAAATATAATTAACAAAAACGAAGTCATTAAAATAACAAGTAAACTGTTTTAACAGAAGAACTTAATTTTATTTTACAGTCATAACTCCCTGTATCAGAAGAGTTTCAATCCTGAAGAAACACCAAGGATGTTTATTTTGTCGTTGAAGCATAGATTTCTAAAATAATAATAGGTGAACACTTTAAAAAGGTTGTGAACAAATGAAAGCAAACACTTAATCAAATGAAAGTCACTTAAATAAGATGAGCAAGAAGATTTGATTTAACGTACCATTTAATTAAAATTGGTTTCCAAAACAAAATATTAAATTAGATTTATATTTAAATTTAATCTTAAAAATGGTAAATATTAAAAAAATTCTGAAAGATGATTGCATTAAACAGAAATAAAAACAGAATAAATTTTTAAAAAAATCGTATTTGAGGAAATAAAATAACGTTAAAAGTCGATGATCTTTGTCAAAAATATTAAAGCTTTAGACAACTCAAAATGCCAGTGGGATCTTTAATATAACTTATTAATAAATATTTAAATTATTTGGCAGTTTTTGTTTCTAAAAAGACATATGGAAAAACAAACCCAAAACAAGAGCCAGAATAAAATTTAGACGACTCCTCAATTCATAAACTACTTTCATTATTAACGCATACGAGAAAGTAAATTTTGAATGGTCCCCATATACATTGTGATATGTATTGTCATATGTCAGGAGCGCAGCCATTTAGCGAAATTTCTTATTTTATCAGTAGTTTAAGTTTTTGTGTCCCCTCCAAGTATTTTTAGTTTTTGATATAATCCATTCAGGTATTGAATTCTTATTTGCGTAGCGAACGAGTCGCTCAAATGAGTCCTGTGCTCGATGAACAGTCATACCAATAAGTTGGATCGCAAAAGAAATGCCGTAAAGAAAACCACTAATCATAGCAAACGAGTTCAGTTTCGACGTATTTTCACTGATGACAGAAAAGAAATATGCAAGTATAATTATCCAAATGATATTGCACCCATAGACAGCGACGATCGATTTTGTACGTAACTTCCATAATTGTTTTGCCATGATTTCTTTGTCTAAACCAACTCTGGAGGATTTGCCAACGACAGTGTCACGGAGATATTTCCAAAACTTGTATTCAATCTCATCATCTGCTGTGTTAGATAATGGCAGCGTATAGTCGTTGAAAGGAGATACGGAACCTGAAATGAGAAAAAAAAAGAAAAAAGGACAGACTATAATACGAATTCAACGATTCAATATAAAATCTGATACATATTGCAATAAATATTGGATGAGGACAATAGTCCGAATACGGACTATTGTCCTCATCTTTGTCGTCATATTTATTACAATATTCTTCAGGTGGTTGGAATGAACCCTTTATTTTGCTCACTGGGGTAGACTGTTCTAGTTTCCCGCGCTATGTTAATGGATGTCAGTTATCAGTTATCTCCTGTTAATTTCCCTCTGAAAGTTCTCCACTGCCTTAACCGGGTATTGAACTCACACTCTTTGGGTCCTCTCACTGGATATAATTAACGCCTTTATCCACCGTGGCACGTGGAACCAGAACAGTCTACCCCAGTGAGCGAAATAAAGGGTTCAGTTAGACATTCCAACCACCTGAAGAAGGCCGGGGCGTACAACGGCTGAAACGTTGTAATAAATATGGCGACAAAGATGAGGACAATAGTCCGAATAATGTACATAATACCTCATCTCAGAAATATAGACAGATAAAATCTGGTATCATTCAGTATCCTTACTGGTTGTTCCATATTTTCGGCCTTGTGTCACAACAAAACTAGGTTTAATAAATCGATCTATATTATACTTCATAAAAGTATGGAGTTTTTTTTTTCATGCGCATTGATATCGATATCAGATTTATCATTTAATCGATTAAAACTAATTTCTTAAAATTAAGAAACAGAAAAAAATATTAAACGAGAAACATTTTTATAGACTACAATTATACCCATATCGATTGTAACTGATATATATGATTTGTTTTTTTTTACGGATTATCAACCTTTTGTGTATCATTTAAAAGGCAGAAAATATTTTTAGATTGTAATAATTTTTTTTTAGAGATAATGATTTATGGATACAAATCTTACTAATTAACCCATAGCTGGGAGGAGAATTGGTTGATTGATACACACAAATACCTTTGGGAAAAAAGAGTAAGTGAATATAACGGACCCAACTCGAACTCGAACCCCGCTCTTTTATCTCCAATTCTAAACACTTATCCATTACATCAACCGTATATCCAAGCTTATAGCACCTGATATTACCAAACGGTCACCCATCTTGACGTTGCTTAACCGGTGATCGTACAAGAACCGGTGCTTCAACTTGATATGACAGTAAGCCCTTTGACGTATAGGCATTTCTTAAAAAACAATGCTGTAGTTTTAAATCATTAACATTTGATGGGCAAAAATACCATGATAAACAAGGGAGACCGTGATCATTTTAATACATTTATTCTATGTACGTAAAGCTTTTATTATTCCTAATTTGTCAATATACGAACTCTCCAAGAATTCGCACATTCGAAACATGCCAATATATTATTCATGTGAAAATAATTTAATTTCTTGACGTTGAAAAATAATTTTGAAAGATTAGTTTTCTAGGGCGGAGTGTTGCAAATAAACACAAAGTAGATTTTTATTAAAATTAAAGTATTAACAATTTTGACTTAAAATACTGAAATACACAATAGATGTCTTCAGATCTTGTTGCTAGGCTTATGAGGGAATTTTAAAGCTAAAATAATTCTCTCGATTGTTGCCGGATTCAGAATAAAGGCATTTAATTTTCTAGTAATCATAGGTGAAAGATTTTTTTCAGCTAAAGCTTGTAAGGTAGAATTATGATAGAATTTCAGGACACTTACTTTTTTTAGTCTTTTTCTTTCGCTTTCGTCGGCGAATTTTAGGGAAACATACGAATTTTGGTACCACAGCTTTCGACTTTTGGAAATAAAAAAAATAACTGACATTGAATTTGAAGTTTAGGAAAAAAAAAAAAGAATAAAAAAGACAGATTGACGTTCTTTAGTGCAAATAAGAAAGACGGCAAAACTAAGCAACTGGAAGGAAGAAAAATAGACATTGAATTGTGAAATGCATGACTTTAAAGAATCATTTATTGTAGTGATTACATTTGTTTGTGGGGTTATAGAAGCATTATTATCAACATTAGAACGAAATCGGGTTAAGAACTGCAGAAAAATCAATAATTCACCGAAGCGGATACACGGCTGTTCCTCGGATAATCATTTAAAGAAGGGGTTTCAAACTGAAGGGGACACACACTGTCATTACGAGGGAGGGATAAAGCGGCTCAGAAGCCGGCCAGTCACTAAAGTATTACCAATAAGATCTTCAAGTACAGTGGTGGGGGATCACCACTGTTTAGAAGAGCATTTTCTCGCATTTAAATTAGTCCGCATCACATTCAGATAGGAGGAGGGGGCAGCACACCTGGTACAAGGTCTTCCCAGGAGCAAAGTAAGCAATGGAGATAATATTGAACACTTATAGTGGTAATCTATACAGTCGATTGGTTATTTATTAATCAAAATGATTGCTTAAAACTTTTTCACTAATATTTCCCCTCATCCAAAACTGAAGAGCCACTCAAGGTAGTAAGGAATGGCCACTCGGACAGCTTCTTCCCACGAAAGGTTCTTAAAGAAGATTCTTCTCAATTCTACTATGTTTCTGCTTAGAGAATCTGTGCAGGGGTGGGGGAATGGATTGTGAATTTCAACGGTTATGCGAGTGAGTGACTTGTGACATTCAATACATACAAAGGCATACTACTAACGTTCCATCATCACCGAGCGGGCCCTGTATTTTCGAGCGGTTCTCTTCTCATGAACGCTCATTGAGACTAAATTGCGCCCACAAGCGACACTCATACAATCCATTGCTAAAGATGCTGCAAAAATTATTGGCTCTTTGTATCACGACAGTAAGTATCCAACGTCTCCTGCTATGCTTTCTTTACAAGAGCAAAACCTGGCCAAAAGCTGGGTACGCCTGTCATATCTGGTGTGGCCTAGTCCCCATTTTTCAGTTTTGATAATTCAAAAGCTTCTACACGGTCTTGTGAGCGATGATTTTTTCTGTTCTACAACCCATTTGCCACATGCGAATCCTAGCAAATGTCCTGAAATTTCTTAGTCCCCCCCCCAATCCTTTCCTTCGCAGCTAAGACCCACCATGCCACGTACACTGGGACGAATCCGCCTCATTCTCTTTCTATTTCATTGACAAGAAGATGTGGCACAGGGTCGAAATAATTAAACTCCCAGTGAGGATCAAACTCAGCCGTAATTGATCTAGTGAGGCAATCTTGCTAACCATTACACCACGCCGAAGTACCTGGACTTTGATATCTAAGGTGATCTTCCTCTTGATGAATTTAATTCAGTCTTATTAGTAATGTTAAATGTCTTCTAAATAGCTTCAAAGAGGCCAAAATTAAATTTTATCTTTACTTACAACCTCGCAAAGTTGGATTGATGGTTTCGTTCCATTTACTAATTCGATTAATTTAGTTATAAATGATGTTTGCGTGGTATATGATCAGTCATGGGCACCTTGTCGTAGTTTGATGGTTAGAAAGCTTGCTAGATCAATTACGACTGAGTAGTTAGTTCGATCCTCGCCGGGTGCCCCATACTTTTGGCCTTGTGTCACATCTAAGCCCGCTTAGAAAATCGCTATATGATCAGTCATGAAACACAGGATGAGTAAATGACACACAACGATTAACAGACCGGTGTTGTAATAAAATGCAGAAAATAAAATGTTGAAAATGATTTTTAGTAACGCTTTACAATAACCAAAGATTCTGTAAAATCCATCACTTGCGTCCTCTCATGACCAAACGAGTTTGTTGTTTAATCTCAACAATCAAATCGCACTGATACCAAATTTATCAGCTCTCACTTTATTGGAGGAGAAAAACAAAAAAAACAAAACAAAAAATAAATAAAAATAAACAAAAAAATAAAAAAAAATTAAAAAAAATATAAAAAAAAAATAAAAAAATAAAAAATACAAAAAAATTAAAAAACAAACTAAAAAATAAAATACAAAAAAAAACCAAAAAAACAAAAAATAAAAAAAAAACAAAAAATAAAAAAACAAAAAATAAAAAAAAACAAACAAAAAAAATAAAAAAAACAAACAAAAAACAAACAAACAAAAACAAAAAAACAACTTTCCATTTGTTTCGTCTTGTTTAATTTAATTGTATTCCACCAATAATTCACCGAAACAATTTACTTTCACTAATATTAGTATCAAGACATTTTTAATGTATATATAAATTGAATACTAATTGCCACGTTCCTTACTATGAATTGTCAAATTTCTTAAAATAAAATAAAAAATTAAAAAATACCTTTCGTCAAGTCGCCAATGAAGAAAGCGAAGTGGTGAGAATTATAGAGAAGGAACTTGAACAAACCCTGCTTAGCGAATAAGTCAAGCTCCAAATTGCTATTGCAAATATATGAAAGGAACGAGGAACAAATTAAACTCATTAAGATACGAGGAAAATATTGGTTTCTTGCGGACCGCAGAAAAAAATGTCAGCTGGCGAGTTGTGGGCCATAAATGAAATATAGTCGTTAAAATTTCTCTGATGACGAATGGTTATTTAGAAGAGGAATTACTGAAAACTATCAAATTATTATTTGGTGTTGAGAACGTGTAAAATATTGAAGAAAGAATAAGAAACATACGCCATCTCTAGTTCCCCAGCTCTGATCAATTATATTGCAAATCGAATAGACCGGAAGTAATATGTGCATAGCCGGGAACATAAACATGTAGAATAAGCCGAGGAAGATGATCCAGGTTTCGTGCGGATGAAGAATGGAGGCATAGAAAACGCTTGACGTTAAAAGAATGAGAATGTAATGTTCTTGGAATTGCAGAGTACGTAGTTCCATATCTGCGAAGCAAAAAGAAAAAAAATAGTTTTTATTACAAAGTTAATTTTGGTGTCAGAAGATTTGAAAATTTGTGTCATTTAAAGGAGGAAGAAAAAAACTCCCATTTAAAAAGAACTTTAATTTAAAAAGTTATTGTTTTATTTGTCGACAAAATATTTTAAAAATGAAAAATTATCTAAACTGCTTTAACTCTAGCTGTTGATACTTTTATTACATGTTTTTATATAAAATGGATTGCAAACAATGATTGTTGTATTATGCCAAAATAGGCTTGGCCTCAATTTCAAGCCAGATCCTCAAAAGATACATAGTTAACTTGAGATAACCTCCAGTCGGTGATAGAGATCACTGATTCACTCGTTGTCACTGGTAACTCCGAGAGGTGAACCTCTGGGAATAAGGCTGCACCCAATATGTGAACGCTTGAGAAAAATTCGGTGAATGTCTAAGGATCTTTGAAGCAGAGCCACACAATGGCTGAGAGTAACTTATAAAGTCAAAAGTTGAATAAAATATTAAACTCGATAGATCCTGTTTTTGTGCTAATTTTCCGGTACAGCCACTCAATTACAATTCTGAGTTGGTGAAGAACGTCGTTTAATGAATAGAGAAACCGATTTTTAAATACTTTAAATTTTTGTAGCCGTTGTATTGAGAGCGGTTTTTGAAGAAATACTTACCCGTTATTATATCAGCCGTGACAAAGATTGCCCCGCCAACAAAAATACACGTAATTGCTGTTCCAAGTAACCATGTAAGCATTAGGGTTATATACGTCTGAAACTTTGAATGAGCGTAAATACATACTATTGTGTAGAATAGGATGATTACACAGAGGCTAATGGTGAGGCCGATGAAATTCAAATCAAATATCATATTCAATCCAGCAGTGATCATAATTACTGTTGACCCTAAAGAAAGGAAAAGAAATTTCCTTTAAATAAAGTGAAGAAAAACAAAACTGAAAATAGACATTTAAATTCTAAGTTGGATTTTTTCTGTTAATTCACCCTAAAATATTAATTCACCCCCAAATAAAAAGAAATTATATTTACTAAAATTCAAATCAAATTCTCCCAAAGCGAGACTCCCTTTACACTTCATTCGCACTCACCCTGATAAACAAAAAAAAAAAATATATATATCTTTTTAAAGTGTAAAAAATCCTTGTTAACTATCTCAAATATCATCCGCACTTGCGAAATGTGAAGAACTTCCTGATTTTTGGTTAGTTTTTTTTATTCTGAGGGTTTGAGTTGTTGCGAGGTAAGCTAAACAAAATTTGATTTAAAATTTCAAAAGAATGCAAAAAAACCAACGCCATACCAACAACAAAAAAAAGTAAAAACAAAAAACAGTAAAAACAACAAAAAAAAAAAAAGTAAAAAACAAAAAAGTAACAAAAAAATAAAAAATGAAAAACTGATTTAAAATTTATGATTTTCTGGTGTGAATTAAGATTTGCGATAACATGTATTAATTGGGGTGAATTAACAGAATAGATCTTAATAAATTTTTGAAAAAGCAACACTTGGGAAACGCATGACTTAATAGATGCTTTATTAAATCTTAACCAAATTTATTAGTTTTCGGTATTGTATTGTTATACATTACACTGGATATTAGAAATGACAAAAGACATCCAGCTAGTTAACACTTCCAATAAATAACTCGCAATTTCCAGGCGTTTTAATTTTTACGAAGAAAATTTAAAGAGTGCAATGATAAAAACAAAAAAATATTCGGAATAAAAGAGAGGGAAAAAAATGCCTACCTGGGGAAATAATGGTGATGAGAAAGAGTTGCATCAAATAAAGTACGTAGGCGATACTAAAGCAAGCATTATGGCGGATTAAACTAATGACACGGCGCATTACGAGAAACGTGTTTGCCAAATCAGACAGCATCCAGCGACGCCTTTGTTTTAAAAATTCATCTAAGTTGGATGGACAGTAGGTAGTGTTGAAGCCAAAAGTGCAAAACTTTAGTTTCCAACCTCGTAACATCATTAAAGTGCACATCCAACGGTCTTCACCTGAAAAAGAAAAAAAAAAAGACGATAGTGAAGGTTTTGAACTTATTCTAAATTCAGAAAAAGCAATTTTACGATTTTGCCGGCCCCGCAAAAGCCCCTTATGTCAAGGGGTTGTCACTGTTTTAACAATTCTCATAGTCTTGAAATATTTGGGCAAGTTGTTCAATTCAATTTCTCATCTATTTCAAATATTGAATACGTTACTAAAGCCAGTTCCAATTATCAAAGCACCAATAAGTATTTGCTTTAGAAGCCTTCCTGCAAACAGGAGCAATATATTGAAGGAAAAAAAGAAAACAGAGAAAGAAAACAGAGAAAGAAAACAGAGAAAGAAAAGAGAGAAAGAAAACAGAGAAAGAAAACAGAGAAAGAAAACAGAGAAAGAAAAGAGAGAAAGAAAACAGAGAAAGAAAACAGAGAAAGAAAACAGAGAAAGAAAACAGAGAAAGAAAAGAGAGAAAGAAAACAGAGAAAGAAAACAGAGAAAGAAAACAGAGAAAGAAAACAGAGAAAGAAAACAGAGAAAGAAAACAGAGAAAGAAAAAACAGAGAAAGAAAAACAGAGAAAGAAAACAGAGAAAGAAAACAGAGAAAGAAAAACAGAGAAAGAAAACAGAGAAAGAAAAGAGAGAAAGAAAAAACAGAGAAAGAAAACAGAGAAAGAAAACAGAGAAAGAAAACAGAGAAAAGAAAAAAACAGAAAAAAGAAAAAAGAGAAAGAAAAACAGAGAAAGAAAACAGAGAAAGAAAAACAGAGAAAGAAAAAACAGAGAAAGAAAACAGAGAAAGAAAACAGAGAAAGAAAACAGAGAAAGAAAACAGAGAAAGAAAACAGAGAAAGAAAACAGAGAAAGAAACAGAGAAAGAAAAACAGAAAAAAAAGAGAGAAAGAAAGAGGAAAAAAAAGAGAAAAAAAGAAAAAGAAAAAAAGAAAGAAAAAAGAAAAGAAAAAAGAAAGAGGAAAAAGAAAGAGGAAAAAAGAAAGAGGAAAAAGAAAGAGGAAAAAAAGAAAGAGGAAAAAAAGAAAGAAAAGAAAAGAAAAAAAAAAAAAAAAAGAGAAAAAAAAAGAAAAGAAAAAAAAGAAAAAAAAGAAAAAAAGAAAAAAGGAGAAAAAAAGAAAAAAAAAAAAGAAAAAAAAAAAAGAAAAGAGGAGAAAAAAAAAGAAAAGAGGAGAAAGAAAAGAAAAAAAAAAAAAAAAAAAAAAAGAGAAGATAGAAGAAAAAAAGAAAGAAAATAGGACTCATCTCAGAGAGACAATATTGGAATAAATTCACAATTCATCTAAAAATTAATGTATAACTATCAAGATAGTCATTTTGTATATTATTACACAATGATATTAAGGAATATTTATGACTAAGTTGGAACGTTTTTGTCCGATTCCATTTTTTCTTTAGAACTTCAGGAAATTGAGGGTTTTTTTTATTATCTACACTGCTTGGACTATTGCCCTCATCTTTGTCATATTCATCGTTTCGGCCGTTGTACGCCCGAACTTCTTCAGATGATATACATGGACACATGGCCCAGTGGATAAAACGTTGGTTCCAATATCTGGTGAACAGAGTTGAGTTACTAAACTGAGATATATATAAGGCACGGCACGTGGAACTAGAATAATCTAAAGGGATTTGTATAGCAACTGAAGACGCCCGAAACGTCGTGAATATGACAAAGATGGATGTTACAATGCCTCTCTGATGTTTTCTTACATTATTCAGACATATCCTAATCTTCATTAACATATTCACTTGATGGGAATTTCGAAATGAACTCTTTATATCGTAGTTTCATCATCATTTTAGTTATTTCCCTTTAACTCAACTCTCCAAGTTCACCACTGCTGTAGCCTGGTATTGAACTCAGTCAATCTAGTCACTGGATCTAACCAACGCCTTTATTTTGAGGACATCTGCATGAATTTTGGAGACTTATAAACCTAATGTCTCAGCAACTTTTTTTTTTTTTTAACCAGTGCTCCTATTGCAATTTTTCTGTTATTATTGCATTTTTACTAGAGCTTACATTGATATTTTTTGTTGTTAATAATTGCTTTTCTCTAGCACTCCTTATTACTTGTTCCCATAATGTATTCATTTCTATGCTTGGTTGGCTCAGGATATTTTTGTGGCCTAGCATGTGCGCTGATTCCTTAAGTTTTTGTATTTTCCAGTGATGCTCTGTCTATTATTTCAATCTCTTCCCACGATGGGTGGGCGTGGTGATCTCATTTTTCCCTCCATATGTGGTCAGCTATGCCTGATTTATCTATTTCCTCTTGTGTTACCGCTTTACGATGTTCTTGTAGTCTTACCTTAAGAGGGCGCGGCCGGTTTCTCGTTTATATTTCTTACCACAACTGCATGGGATGGCGTATACACGATGCTTAGACAGATTTACCTCTAAAGGGGGGTCTTTTTCTGAAGAGGTGTCTGCTAAATGTTGAACCACTTTTGTAGGTTATCCTGATGTTATATGGGGCATAGATCTTTTGTATTTTCTTCGATAATCCCTTCACATAAGGTAGACAGGCCGAAGCTGTTCTCCGAGT